AAGACACTGTTGGGATATATGATCTTCAAGTTATCGTATTTCAGGAGTACCGTTGTCAATGTATTCATCTCTTCTACAATCAGTTGAGACCCAAGAATCAGAAAAGGTCCTTTAATATACAAAGTCGAATGGTATCTAAATATCTATATTAGAGTGGATGAATTCTTACATGAACTCTGTCTATTTCAACACAATGCCCTACATCAAATGGGTGCATCACAAATAAGAATATTATTGCCTTGAATGTTGTCTTGGCAGTGTTTCCAAACATGAATACGACAGAAGAACCTGAGAGCTCATAAGACCAGGAAATGTGTAGTGTCAACATTGCGTATAAGAAGACAGACGACCAGTATGATAACACATACTAAGACGTTCAACAAGTGATGCAGTTTGTTCACAACAGTCTTTGTGTCTCAGTCGCCATGTGGCCTTAATCTCGATGAGTGCAGGTACCTGGGGAATGAGTGCAATAATGTTAACTCCAAGGGTAAATTCATATTAGTACCATTGATGAGGGTAACGTATTGTAATAGTCTGCAATAATTGGCAGTAATTTGATGCATAAAAAACGTTATCCGTAAGATGCACCGTGCGGGTAACCTAAAGCTAGCAGTAACATATATATTTATATATTATAAAGACAGTTATAATTGCCAAGGGACTGCAGGTAAGCAGAAGAACCAATAATAGTCCATATAATTGTTGCCTCAAGGGGATGTAACAAAGTCGATTAGTGCCATGTACATGCTAGTTTGTATGGTATTTTCCTTCTGGATTGTGAAGTAGAGTTGGTGTGATTGTGATGCATACAAGAGGGTAGCAGTAAGATGTAAAGGTTAGAAGTAACACATATATGGGAAACTTGTAATTACAAATGGCAGGGGATTGTGATTCACCGAAACTAAAACAAATCAAGTCTAGAAATAGGAATATATGTTATAGTAAATAGTATTGCTTATTTAAGCGAAGATTTGAATAATAAGCTTAGCAAAAAATAATATTGCAGATTCTTTTGTGAATGTTCAACGTGGATCGTCATATATCTCTTATTTACGCAAACCTATGAAGATGGTTAATGAAAATTTTTATTAGTTAAATGTAATAATGTATATGTTTATTTCAATTTGATGAGGTTCAATCATGCAATTAAATCTTATCTCATTAATATTACCTTATAGACAATATTTGCTTGGTGTGATTGTGATGCATACAAGAGGGTAGCAGTAAGATGTAAAGGTTAGAAGTAACACATATATGGGAAACTTGTAATTACAAATGGCAGGGGATTGTGATTCACCGAAACTAAAACAAATCAAGTCTAGAAATAGGAATATATGTTATAGTAAATAGTATTGCTTATTTAAGCGAAGATTTGAATAATAAGCTTAGCAAAAAATAATATTGCAGATTCTTTTGTGAATGTTCAACGTGGATCGTCATATATCTCTTATTTACGCAAACCTATGAAGATGGTTAATGAAAATTTTTATTAGTTAAATGTAATAATGTATATGTTTATTTCAATTTGATGAGGTTCAATCATGCAATTAAATCTTATCTCATTAATATTACCTTATAGACAATATTTGCTTTGTATTTTTCTTGTCATCTAACAAGATGTGCTTTGCATATGTATTCCACTTTAAATTGTATAGATGTCATATGAACATGTGAAGAGAACAACTACATTTTATATATTCACATATTTTCACATTTGTTGCGGGTTTTTTTTTTTTTTAAAAAAACTCGGAATATTTTGAAAATAATATATTTTGAAGTTAGAAGATCTTGTTAACTTGATAATACATTTGGGACATATATAATACTTTAATTTAAATACAAATACCTACCCAAATATAAATATATATTTGCATTAATGAAAATAACTATCTCATAAAATTAACTATTAAATAAGCAATAAAAATTAAACTAATACAAATTCCAGCTAACGTTATTACAATTAATATGAATTTTTCTTCGTCTAAAATGCTGAAATATTAAGAAATAGTAAATAAGTAAAATAAAAGGGCAATGTTTATATAGTAATGACTATTTTGAAGCAAACTGCATGAGAGTCTAAATCACATAAATAACATTGATAAATAAAGTCATTCTTTTGTTTTGAGCATCAAAAACAAATCGTGACAATTATCTAAATTTTGGAAAAGAATTCAGAAGCATATAGCTACATCACAAGAGAAATTGATAACAAAAACAAATGAATTTAGACTTACTTCTCAGAATAGTGGTACCTCATATTCCGCTAAACTTCGAACTCCCTCAATGACCATAAATCACACAAAAAGTTTTGAAATGCAAGAAGAAGAAAAGTAGAAGATTGAAAAAATTGTGGTTGAAAAGTGAGAGGAAGCCCCTCTATTTATAGTCAACAAAGGGTAGTATGAACAAATGTTTTTTGTGTCTTATTTGAAAAGTCATTAACTTTTCGAGAAGTCACAATCCTTTGGAAAAGTCACAACTTATTGAAAAAGTCACAATTCTTTGGAAAAGTCACAATTTATTGAAAAAGTCACAACTCTTTGAAAAAGTCACAACTCATCGGAAAATCACAACCCTTCGAAAAAAGTCACAACTTATAGTAAAAGTCACAACTCATCGAAAAAGTCACAACAATCCTTCGAAAAAAGTCACAACTTATCGAAAAAGTCACAACTCATCGAAAAAGTCACAACCTAAGTTAGGGATATTATAGTAATTTAACATTCAAATTAGGAGTTCATGCTTTTAAGGTAATATATATATATTTATTGGGGTGTTATTGGTTGTTTTTGTTTTTTTTGTTACTACTTGTTCTCTTCTTGATTGTTTTTCAACATGGCTTCTTCGCTATTGTATTTGCTTTACATGATTTTTGATATGCTTACTCAAGCCGAGGGTCTATCGGAAATTGTCTGTCTACTTTCACAAGATAGGTGTAAGGTTGCGTACAGTCACCCTCCCCAAATCTCACTTATGAAATTATACTGGATATGTTGTTGTCATTATATATGTATTACGATTAACATGTGTATAGTTTTTTGTTTCTTGTGTTTGAATTTCTTTTGTGGAAATTGTAGGTGAATATATCATCAGGAATCTCATCATCTGTACACAGTTTTCAGATGGAGCCCCCTTCAAACCAAAGTTATTATGGCTGTAAATGTTTACCTCATTGGCCTGAAGAAGTTAAGGTAATTCTATTAGTTTGCTTTAGATTGAGACCACAACACTTTCCGTCTCAAGTCAAAACCAAACAAACATATTGAAAGACAGAGTACTATTTGTATGCTTGATACCCTCACTACAAAAAAATGTTCAAATTGCGGGGGTTAAATTACATATTGCAGCGGTCAGTAACCCCTGCAATATGTTGTTACGGCAGTTGCAAAACCACCTGCTGTTAGGTTTGTGACAATTAAGTCACATGGGTTTTTCACCAACCACTGTTACCAGTAGCAGGGGTTATTAGCGGAGGTTTTGAACCCCGAAAATTGACATCAATAAACCTGCACTTCATATTCTGGGAATCAGAACCCCAACAATTTGTGAGTCTGGGAGTCGGAAACCCCGCAATTTATGAATTTCACATTAAAATTAACAGGAGTTTCCAACCCGTGCAATTCATGAACATGTAAATTTTTACAGCATTCTGCTAGTTATATTCAACTTTAAATATCAATGACTAATTAACATGTACATCATAGTCCAAACCTAAAAGGACATATTAGTATTAAGAAATAAAACATATTTCAAACACAAAAATATATCATTAAGTGTACTATTCGTTTTACAAGCTATATTGAAATATGTTATTCACCCCAACCATTACGATTAAAAGGAACTTGAAATCACTACAAAACTGTTGGTTAATCTTGCTTTTATTGATGAAAAGTCTTCACTAGCATCCAAACTCAAGAAAGGACTTGCAACAGTTTATGGAACATCACCTGGCTGCAAAAGAAAATACACAATAAATGGGTATTGAAGGAGATAACTTTAGCCTTAGAAAGAGGGCGTTGTAATTGTTGTAGTGAGTCGTGGAGAAAGACATAAACCCCTTTGGGTTTCTGCTCTGCAGGAACATGAGCCATTAGAACGTAAAACGATGAGAACGTAAAGCGATCCATCTATTAGAGTCTCTAGCGTCCAATGGGGCATGATCACTATGACCCAATAAATACAGCTAGTGATCTAAGTTTATCAGTTAAGGTCTCAAGGAATTACTTAGAGATAGCAACTTCAAAAATCATGGCATCCATTCTTTAAAAAACAAGACTAAAGTGGTGATGAAACGATCTTTTCACTGTGAAGGTGACATTCAATTTAAAGGGTAAATGTCATGATGCTAAGAGAGGTAAGTGACTACTCCCTTTGAAGTCTATGCATTTTATACTAGTTGCAAATAAGAAATGAAAAGAGGAGATTCAGTTAATCATAAAATATCGTATTAGCAACTAAGAAGTTCGTGGAAATAGAATAAGGCAACTAGTGGCTTCTGCATGTTAATATGAATGTTTCTTTAAGTAAATAACCAATTTTTGAACATGTTTTGATATCATTTCATATAAACTATAATCTACCTTGTTATTTTTTATATTGTTAACACACGATGGTGGAACTGTTTCTGTGTGACCTATAGGTCACGAGTTCGAGCCGCGGAAGCAACCACTAATGCTTGCTTGCATTGGGGTAGGCTGTCTACATCACAATCCTAGGGTGCGGCCTATACACTCTGACCAACCAATGCATCACAATCCTAGGCTGTATATATAAACAACCTGTTCTTTAGAGAAAAGTAAGGACAGGACAAACACAACCAACTCCTCCAAAAGTAAACCTATCTAGAATTAGTTTTGCGTTAGATTAAGCATGGTCTTCACAATTCTAGATAACTCTTCCACAACTTTCAGATATTTTACAGGATGAACACAAATGCAGTAGTAAATGTCAAAGTTGATCAAAATGAGAGTGACTTATGGTGATGAAATATGAGTGGTTCAGTGAAATACTGTCCCAATACCATGTCCAACAAAACGATCAACTACACCATAACCAAAATTTTCAGCATGTTCACTGAAATCAAAGTCCAAAAAGTTCAATGTCCAAGAAAGAGTGTCAACAAAAAATAAGGTACATACACAAGAAATGACATTAACTGTTTGCCAACAATATTCAAGAAAATCACAGTAAATTATTCAAAGTTTCATCAGAAGCAGCAAATTTCACTACCGACATTTTTTAGTGGTAATAACTAAAAGTTTTTGTATATGTTAGACAGAAACAGTTTGACACGTATAGGAACTTCAAAATAGATAGACTGTTGAAGCTTCAAAATATCCATATCACCAAATAATAATCACGAATTCACGATAATATCATATTCAGAAAATTACCTGATCCTCTTTCCTATCTTCCTATAAAGAGCACCATCTCTGCAAACAGCACTTCCATAGTGCAAGCACTCCTCAGTCACCTGCCACAGTAAGATAATACAGACATAATCAATATAACGAGCATCGGATGATAAAAGAGACAGTAGTTCTATTGTTAATACTGATTGGTATCTTAAATCTTAACCAGTATTAGCATAGCGGAGCTCAATTTCAAATAGCAGTGTTCTGATTAACTTTTCAGAAGCTAAAACTTTGTTAAACTAATAACCAGACTGTTTCAGCATTCCTTTCATAATTGACGAAATCTATACCTTTACAAGCCGCTTTATGGATTCACTCACGTCACCACAGAAAAAGGTCTTTGACGTATCGCCATGATAACCCTGAAAAAGGAACAAATGATCCTTACAATTTACAAGGTTCAGCCATAATTCAACGGCAGAACTTTCAAGAGAAGACAAATGTCCTTCTAAATACATAGGGTAAAGACCGGCTAGCAGTAAAAAAGATAGCACATGTAGTCTATTACAATAATGAAGGGGCATCGACAAATTACATTCAGGTAAACGGTCACGTCAATGCTTATTATTTCCCCATCCTGCACAGTATATTGCTGTTTGTCTTGAATACACATAGAAAAAGTTTAAGCAAGAGGATGATATGAAAAGATAATGACCAGCAGCTGCCGTGAGTCAGGTATTCCATGACACATTCACTCATTGACGGATATGCACACACTCTTCGGAAACCCCCCATAGCCTAAGGGAGATGGATAAGCGCCAGCATTGATTATCATTTGATGCACAACTTTGTCAATTTCATTTATTGTTACTGAAGGATTATAGATTCAAGAAAAAAACATGTATTTACATGTTATAGGGGTTTCAAAGGAATTAATAAACTCGATGAAAAATAAGATACCATTCTTGTGAATAGGGATCGAACATTCAGAGCACATCTTCATTTTGTTCCAATCCATAGAGGTTTTGAAGGAAACATTTTATGAGAACCCACCTCATATTTCAATTGAACATCAAAAAAACATCTACATATGAGGATTCAACTCCTACTTAGCCAACTTTTTTTTTGTTTCTATTGCTAAAATGCTGCTTGTCTGGAGATTTCCTTCTAGTGCAAAAGGAAAGTTACAGGGACATATAATACTTTTAGATTAAGCTCAACCCAGATGCACTTGTACTTGACTGAAAAGGACATTGTGAGTTTCCTAAAATAGCACCTGCGTCAAGCCCATTCATTACCAGCTGCTTCTTTTAGATAAGAGAGTCAAATCTACCCATTACGTGCTACATACAGGTCAAGTTTCCCATTATCTACGACTTCTTCGACGTGCTCTGCCGGAACATGAAGTTCAGTTTTTAAGGTCTGGCCTTTATCTTGTCCTGGAGAAGCTAGAGCTCCAAGTTTACCAGAGGTTACTAAAAAAGATCTCTATTATCCAGAAGCAGAAAGATCTGAATAAAGCTCACCAAATCAAGTTAAACTTAATTGTTAGAGCTCTAAACTGGCTTGAAATTGATATGGGTGTTGATGAGGTGGAGTGTATCATGTCCATTTTGATACATAAGAACCTTGTCAAAGGTTACTTTGCTCACAAAAGCAAAGTTGTAGTTTTAAGCAAGCAAGACCCTTTCCCAGATTGACAGGCAAAGTAGTTACCTCATAAAAATGAGGTTGTACCACAGTATCTGAACAACTATGTTCTTAATGGACTGGGAGATAACCAATCTGGGTAATGACACTGTAGCTGGCTCCCCATGGTTAGGCATCACATATTCAAGCAAAGTGTGAGTTCAGTAGTTATTTACGCGCTTCCTCCACAGGGGCGTTTGTCTACAGATAACAAACACAATTTATCAAGTGATCAAACATACTAAACGAGAATACGACTTTGACAAACCATTGGCAACCTAAATCTTTTACCTTTTTGGAAATTGCAAGTGCTATGATTTCAGCTATACCAGTTCCAGCTTGTGATCACGGAAAGATCGACATGAAGCACAATGTAATGACTTTAAGATTGTTTCAATATGTTTTAATGAAAACAATCCATCCATATCTGCTATCGACACGAGTAGAGGCAAAAAGATCATCCATATCTGCTATCGACACGAGGAGAGGCAAAAAGATTATATGATTTCAAATGCATAATATCTCCAAATGTAAATCGCGTCATGAGTGGGATGTCATCGAATTGTTGTATTCTTTCCCTTGGTTATTCATTGCTACCATTTGTATCCTTTTTTACATGTTGTTAGACATAGCTTGTTTACCGAAACGATTGAAAACTTGACTCTTTAAAAGAAAGTCTTGACTTACTTCTCCAGCACCAAAGAACAAGAACGTATGCTCAACTAAGGACCATCCAAGCAGCTTAAGCGATGCAACAAGCCCCGCAAGTACCACAACAGCTGTCCCCTGCAGCATTAATGGGATCAGAAACTTGAACGAACACAAATGTTTGGTGATATAGGCCAAAAGAAAAGCAGCATACCCGTATATTATCATTGAATACCAAATGTGTGGTACCATATTTCACCAACAACTCAAAAGCATCGTGATTCGCAAAATCTTCATACTGCAGATGACGTTACAAATATCAGACTTAGACGTTACATGAAAGGCGATTTGGTCCTTAACAAGTTTCAAATTACTAACCTGTACAGGAACTTTTTCGCCGTAGATTTGCTTCACAACCTTCATGAATTCTTCAAGAAAGTTGTAGTATTCCTACAAGAAGCAAAAAAGAAACATACATGTCTTAAGAACATGCTGCAAGTCTCAATTTATATTTACAACAAGTACGATATAGAGTTATGCTATTATAAAATTGACCTCGCCAGTAGGTCTTTTTTGTCTGAGTCCAATGTAGAACTCGTCTTTCAATAGTTGCTCATTATTTGTTCCCACATCAATGGTTATTGGTAAACACTGCACATGCGAAGCAAAACGATAAGATGTTCATAGTTACAAAATCAAAGTAGTATATAAGTTTTAACGAGCTTTGGTACCGCTGAAGGTCTGACTCCTCCGAATACAGTATACAGAGCCAATTTTCCTACTGGTATACCCATTCCTTGTGACAATATGATGTAATTCATAACAGGATTACTCATTAGACGCATTACAAAGTCAAACATGAAAAGAAAATTTGTTTTGGGCCAAAGAATCTAACTTAACACAAATTTCAAGTAATTTTTACATTATACTAAAAACTTCTCTTATGTCGAGGGAGTCCGTGAAGGACCGTACACCAAGGGGTGTAATGTAGGCAATCTATCCTGCAGGCTTAAGCATTAGCCATTAATTCCGCCAATTGAACCCGTGACCTACAAAATTTACCACAAATGAATAGTGCTCTGGAAAAATAGCTAATTCTACCACAAATACTAGCAGACAACTAAACCACTAAAAGTACAACCAAATTAACCTAATTTTACCACAAAATACACAAAAAGAGTAGGCTAATGCAGTTCATTATTTGGCAAATTTGACAATTTCGAATTCTTCATCCTCGAAAGTACAACAAAATTAACCTAATTCTACCTCCATGCATCTATACAAACAGCAAACTAATGAACTTACCTAGTGAATACAATCAGAAATTTGTACAAAACTTTCCGATTTGATAAGATTGAGATGAGGAAAATAAAAAAAAGGTGAGAGAAGCGAATTTTTTTTTACCTTAAAATGGCTATCTCGATTCCGAATCTCGTAAAGTAGATGAAGTTTACATAGTTGAAGAAGTGGTGGAGAAATGACGGAGAAATGGTGATGAAGCGATGAGAGAAATGTACAGGAGAAGTGAAGGAGCTGGTGAAGTTTTCAGAAATGATTTTTTTTTTGTGTGTTTTGTATTTCTTTGAATTAAAAATAGTTGAGAGTGATTTATATTTTGGAAATTAAAAATAAGTAAAAACATATAGTAGCATAAAAATATAGGTGTTGATTTTGTATTTTGTAATAAAAAATTATATTTTCAGATGGGGAGGTTTAAAATCCCTACTATTTACTTACATTTTTTTTTCCGGATGGCGGGAGTTCTAAACCCCCGCTATTTAGTTTTATTTTCTGTTAACTACAAAACCCTCGGTAATTACTGCAATTTGTGGGGCGCGTAGCTAGCCTCCGCTATTAAACCCCCAGAATTCAGGCATTTTGTTGTAGTGCCTGATTCCAAGATAATGGCCTAAAAGAGTATCTTCTGTAGCTAGAATAACATAAAAAAAATGGTATTATGTGTATGCTCATAAATTTGATGTCTAATTTTCTGAATAGCTATATTTTGGTTTGGCGGTGATGTAATATAGATGGCAGGCGTGAAGAGGCCCTATCCGTTCTCTCCAGAATACCATCATGTCCCTTCATTTCTATGCAAAAAGTGTTGTGTTGCCCCTGTATCCAGATCAAACGAATCCACTTCCTGCGGCAACAAGTGCTCAGTTAATGTAGAAGAGGGAAGTATGCTTAATAGGTTCTATATCTTACCTGGAAATCGCTTAAGTTTTAATTCTCGAGAGACTAATCGTTAGTCATTTGGCATTTTTACAGAGAAGTTGTGTCAAAGTTGAGAGCTTTGTCAGAGTCCGAACCATCGATTTCAGTAAGAGAAACTAAAGCTCTCAATGGGAATTTTCTCACTTTAGCTCCTCCAACAAAAGCTTTGCCACATTTGGAAGCAGTAAATCGGCGTTCTTTAATTGATTCAGTCCCACAATGCGTTCAGCTATTCGACTATGTTCCTTCTCGGGTGAGACTAAGGGACTTTAACGTTTATATTCATGTTCATTTACTGTGCTCTTTGATCTTGGTTTCACTATCTAACGAATGCATCTTTAATCTACAGGTAGCTGCTGTAGAGCATATGCCTCCTTCAGGTCTAAGCACATCAGCTCAACAGCCAATCCTGGGGTTCTTCCCATCTACAAAGGTGCAAATTGGTCGAGAAGGAACTCGTGGAAGTAACTTTCAAACTGAAGTAGGACGAAATGTTGATTTGGAACTGAAGCTATAGAAGTTTGTCCATGCCATATGTTTGTGATGTCCTGGTGTGTAAGGCTTGCGTTAGAGGTGTGTCTGCGGTGATTTATTTCTTTGCATGATAGGGAATGTTGTTTTGAGTGATTGTCCTACCATTTATAGGGATAGTTTGTAGATAAAACTTCATATGCATGAAAAAACATTGTGAAAATTTGAATCACACAAGATAGGCTTTCATTAGCCTCGAGGCTCCACTTTTTAATTGAGTTTTTTTTTTTAATTTTTCAGTTGTAATAATCAACTATTTTGACAAAATATGGAGATTTGGGTTCTTCTTGATCTTGCTAGGTTCATGTACTAAGGTTGTGTTGCAAATTTTGGACCCAAATTCTTATGGTGAATTGTGTGACTGTCTCATCTAAAAGTTTAAGCCATTAGAGGGAGCTTTTAATTAGTTAATTGTGTCTTCAAAACACCTCTCACATGCAGACTTGATTCCCTTTTAAGAGCCAAACACATTAATATTCTTTTTCATAATGGATGGTGGTGAGACTCGATTCCAGGACCACTATTTACTGTCAAAACCTTGTTGCGTCCAAATTGCACACACAGGTGCACGTGGTCGTTCAAGTATTAAAACGGCTCTTATAAAGAGCCGGGTATCGTACCCACATGGACTTACACTTAGAATCACTCAATTTCTCTCACTTTCAGCTAAGCACAAGTGTTATCAAGATTTCAAAAGTGATTGTTTCTAATTGTAAGAATTCAACAAAATGTAACAAACACGATTCAATTTCAAGGGTTTAAAAATAGTGATTGGGTTAAGTCTAGGGGTGCAACTTTTATCAGGATTCATGCAATTAATATCATTTATATGGGTATATATCAACTATCGAATCAATGAATCACAGGGTTAAATGTATGATCATGGTCTCCCGACCTCTAATCCAAGATTCGATCAAGCAATGTTCAATAAACATAAAGAGATCGAAAAGAAAAAAGTTTAGGAAAGAACCCAAAAAATGGTGAAAACGTTCTCCCAAGTCGTCGTTCTTCAAAACCTAGAAAAAGAATACCTAATGAAACAAAATATTTAACTATTTATACTAAAAGTTGAAACGGCCAAAAATTGGAGCAACATGCGCGACACGGAGGCATTCCCTTATTTCAATCTACGATCTTTTCTCTTCTCCGCGACGCGACGGCTGCACGAACCACTCTGCCTCCATCTTGATTTCGAGAATTAATTCAGGACACCCTCTCCGCGACGCAGAGAGGGAACAAAGCACTCTGCCTCAATCTTGGATTCACAAATTAAATTATAATTCCTCTCCGCGACGCGGAGAGGATACAAATATGCCTTAAGTGACTTTCCTCCATCTTCTTCCTTGCCATCTTTTGCCTCGGATCTTTTGTGTTCCTCCATTGTCCATTTTCATGCTCGTTTCTCCAACTAAGCTCACCTACACAACTAATCATGTTGGTTACCTCATACATAACCAAATGACTCGATAAGACCACAAACAAACACATTTTGAATTCGAACTTAGTTTAAATATGGGCACTATTAGATTTCTAGGCATATAAATATGCCTAAGATCAATACCCCACACTTAGAGCTTTGTTGGTCCTCGAACAACTTACTAACTACTCCTAGACCTAGACTCACTACTATGGTATTTGTGAATCCACCACTTTCTTCCAAGGATTTGTAACCAGTTAACACAGGCATGATTTCATTCAAATTCTACATGACTTCTGTAATTGACTTGACAACTTTTAGCAACCAATGCATTCAACAACATGTGCACCATTACGTATCACCTATCCTTCATACAACAAGTGCCCCTCACTCCAAAGAATAGTCCACACACTCAACTTGGCAAAATGAATATACTTTAAGGACTATGCAAACAAGGTACACTCTCACTCAACAAAAAAACATCAAACATGTATGCATTGAGAACCATAGGCTTGCCCATTATGTACATCTCTACTAATAAATTGTGTTATGCTCAAAATCAAACATGACTTGTTCTGGTTGTAATGTAGGCTTAAGGTAAGGGAGTATTCGTTTAGATAAAATTAGTGACTAAGCCTCCCTAATGCACCATAGTCAACTTTTTTCTTACATCACAACTTTTTCTTCTCGTTAGCCCCTTCCCTCTTCATAGGTTTACACTAGTGTTACCCAGAGTTTCCTTTTATTTCTTACTCGCCCACCTTTTTTTTTTGGACACTCAACAATAGCCACCCTTGACTTAGAGATTTCTCTCGAGCTAAGGTGCACAATGCCCTTGTAGGGGCCAAGGCCATCATTAAGGTAATCACTAAGTTAGCCACCTTCAACTTAAGTTTCCCTTAGTCGAAGTGCACAATGTCCTAAGGACCAGGGCCAATCTCAGATTCACACTCATGGGGTATCATTTTACCTCCTCGTTTTACTCTTCCCCAACAAACTAAACATTTCCACCCTATTTACTCTTTTCACTGTTTTCACTTTTCCTCCTAATATAGTGCATTAGGGCATGTGATCAAAGCTAACAGTATCAATAAAAAGGAATTAGGTTTCATTATGTGGGTTAGAACAAAATCAAGGCTAAAAGGCTCAATTGGGCTATACTAGGGATCTTCTTTCTGAACAGGCTCAAATTTCAGACAATTCAAAGAAGGCCTATTATCATCTTTTAAACACAATAACACTTGTATTTCGCTTCAATAACAACCTGGGCAAGTTCTAGACTCAGATGCATTCATGGATATCACAACAACTCACCGCTCATGGCATAAGTTATACTCAAGAATGGATCAATCACAACAACACAATTAGATCATGCACAAGGTCCAAATTAAGCTTTAGTTGCATCATTCAAGTCATATACAAAAAGTTCAACTGCATTCATATATCAATTTCAAGCATGCTTATATATATATATATATATATATATATATATATATATATTCCTCTCAGAATTTCAGCTTCAGCACAACCCAACCTAAGACTCACATGACGAAATTGCCCTTAAGACGGTCGTCATCCATCTATCATTGGGCAATGTGACTCAACTACGACTACTGATTCAATCCTAAAAAAAAAAAAATCTTTTTGTATTTTGTACGGTTCAAAGGGACT